ATATTAGTTACAACGTAAGTTTATTGACTGATTGAGCTGCCTTTTCTTTTTTCACGTAAATCTTTCCGTAAGACGTCAATGCAGCGAATAAATTTTTGCTCTTGACACTTTCATGGGCTACTCTTCATGATTTAAAGAAAAGTTTCCTTCCTACGTGTTGAAGAGAAATCCACTACTATAGCTTCTGACTCTGTACGAACTATGTCTCTTACCTCTGAATCCTGAATTGGGGTATTCATACACAAAATGAATCCCATATTGTTAAGGACTATCTTATTTTCGTTGGACTGTAAAAGCAGGTTTCGTATTTCAATTGAAGTACCACGCGTGCATTGATCAAGGTCTAGTTTTGATTCCAAGGGAGGATTCGCTTCTTATATTATATTTATTATTTTCTATTACTAAATTATTTATCGGTAATAATAAATTTTGATGATGATAAGTAAGATCATCACCTGATTTTTGTATCTCTTGATTTTGGGTCACTATGGTTAGGGCGGTATTCAGTAATTAAAATTTTTGATCTTGTTGAGTTTTGAGCACAGAAAACATAACTTTTATAAGTGATAGAACCATGCAGCAGCTACATTAGTAGTATAGTTGTAGCAGGAATGGGTCGGCTCGACCGAGGAAGGACCACGCTCTCACAGAATACCATCGTAAAATAGCAGCTTAACGCTGCTGTGTTTCGTATGGTGCGTGTAGAGAACCGGAGACCCTTTTTACTGGAAAAGAGGCATTCCATCTTAATCCTGACGGGTGACAATGCATCTGCATTTTGATTCTTTATCTATACTATATATAATATAATAAAGCGGAAGAGCTTTTTTGTTTTTTTGTTTGCTTAAACACGCTAATCTCTGGAACTACCAGTCCGATTTGAAAAATTCTTTTTGTATATTATAGCCAGATTCATGTGGAATAGTATATAGCATTAAGCTATATTACTTAGCTAGCCTTAAATATGGATATTTGTTAAGCAAGTCAGGAGAAAAAGCACTCCCGAAATGATTTATCCGCGTACGCTGGTGTTATCGTTAGGGATACGTAAATACAATGTTCTAGAAAAATATAGACCTTTACTCCGTCTAAAAAAAGTCCGCAATACTATATGGCTATTTCTTATACATAAACCATAATTTGGTATTTTGTGACAAAAAAAATTGAAAATTTAAAAGTGATTTATGAGCGTTATTATTAGGCATGGCCTATTTATCCTTACGAACAAAAGTTACTTCATCATCAAGACAATTTTATGAAAATAAACTTTGTTCTTTATACCATGTTATTTGGACGCATAGTTTAAGAGATAATGTAAAATTAAAATAATTCAATACTTGACTGGGCGCGCAAACGACGCTTAAACCCTAGCCGTTATAAAATGCTTGAACTAGGTCATATCGCGCACGCCGGACACGTGATGACGCGGGTGAAACCGCGGGGCACAGCTAGTTGATGATAAATGCAGATGTCTATGGGTCACAGCTACCACTTACCATCAGGTGGACTTTTTGCTCGTTTTTCACTCTATCCTATAAAAAAAAACTTGGATTTAAAAAAAGAAAGATGGATGACCAACGTTGCAATGAGAGATAACCTAACGTACGTTTAAAACTCTTTATAATCTTATTATACTTATTGTCATCCGAATCAAGGTTACCAGATGTATTAAGAGCTGAGTCTGAGTTGTAATGTAACATAGTAGTATTTTGTGTATTCAGTTGCCAGCGTGAGCCGGGTGGGGTCCGTTGCATGGACATCATTAATTATTTTTTTAAATATTATTATTTTATATATATATATATATATATATATATATATATATATATATAGTACATATATTTCCTCAAGATGTTATCAACCGACTTCAAGAAAGGAGGAGGTTCTCAGTTCATTCTCAAATCTTCTTTCACCACACGTGCAGTATGTGGTAAATTAGCACTTAAGATTGCAACTAATAATTTTATGGGTGTGGGTGAACTCGGGTCGGGTCTTCGGTCGCTCGCGTAATTTACGTTTATAAAATTAGTTGAGTAAAACTTAATGAATAATTGAATTATTGTTTATTATTGATTCATAAAATTGTGTAACGCTATTATTAAAATTCCGAATGTTTGCATCACAGCGTATCAATTACTTTATTTCTACTATGCAAATATTTTAAACACCTCCACGTGACCTTTCCTTTCACAATATCAATTTTACATAACATATATTATGGTGTACTAGCTTTTTCCTTTGAGTTTGCTCATGTGGACTTCACTTGACCGACATAATTTGAGTTCCATATCAAAATTATAAAACGGAGCACTTGCGGATCACCTCGTTGTCTATCAGTGTATCTGTCTGTCTGTCATCAATGTAAACAGACAGATATACTGACTGACTGACTGTTCTCAGAGACTTTTTTACCACGTAAATTATTGAAATTTAGTATAACTTGCATTTACGAAACGGACATAAAGTCTAAAATTCAAATTTTCTAAAAATAGTAAGCTAATTGTATTAAGTAATAATAATAATAATCATAATTGGTGTCAACAGAAATCGAAAAACTGTTTTAAACATAACTTTATTGTTTCATTTTATTCCTCATTATTTTGAAAAAAGCTTTAAATTAAAACTTCCCCGTAACTTAAAAGTGGCGAATATTGGTAATGAAGTATGACTAAACGAATTTAAGACTTACATTGTTTCATTATGTTTTAAAATAATATGGCATTTCGTGATCTTCGTTTAAGTCAGGGCAACATTATTACTGGCGATAGTCGATCCATATCATGAAAAGTTCGGCTCTTGACGCTACGCCGTGATGAACAGTCGTGTCCCTGAAAGATGCGCGTCCAAGACCAGTGTTATAGACCACTGCCTTACGAGTATTATGCGCTGCTATTGTCGCTGGTCTTCGCTGCCGCGGACTGGCCAACGACGTTGACCTCTCGCTTATGGACGTTAACGCGGCCGCTTGGTGTCTCGCACGATTGGTTTTGTGAGTGAATTATACTTAAGCACAGTGTGGAATGACGTTTTGACCAGTGTACCTACATCATTATATCCAAGACCCTGCGTACACTGCCCACTACACCTACTCGTTAATGAGGTACCAATGAGATAAAAATATCGCTATAATGAGCAATACGACTAAAAAGAACATTAATATGAATCCACGTAATAAGCGCCCAAAGTGTGAAGCCTCCCCTATAATTGAATTACATAATTTTAAGGAAAAAATAAAACGACAAATCGAAGCTATGTTTGCCTCCTCAAACAAAATTCAAACAGCCACATTATCTGAAAAAATATAACAACAGCAATCTATTATCTTGAACAAATTGGTGTCCGAGGTAAATGAGTTAAAAACACAAAAGTTTGAATTGAAGAAATTCTTCCTTGAGGTACAAAAATTTGTAAAATTCGTAAGTGCACAATACGACGACATTTCACAGGAGATCCTTGGCACTTACTAACACTAAGGCACTTGAAAATACCATCAAAGATCTACAATTTTGTTCCCGTAACTCCAGTATAGAGACCAGAAATGTCTCCGTTAAAAACGATGTAACACTTGACGACCTTATTTCTGTTGTTTCTGGAATTAGAATAATAATTGACTAAAATTTAACCCCAGCAGACTTCAGGGATTTGCGACGTGTGTCCGGAAAACAGAGACTGCCAAAACCAATTCTAGCAGAATTCACGAAGGTCAATATTAAGCGAAGCTTTTTATCCAGCACGAAGAATTTCAACAAAAAGTCCAAGAACAAACACGACAAACTGAATACAGTGTTAATAGGTATCTCAGGGACCCGTATGCCCATATATAAATATGAGTTCCTGCCACTACAAACGAAGAAACTTCTCTTCCGGACTCAAGAATTTGCAGAAGCCAACGGGTGCAAATATTGCTGGGCTTCTAACGGAATCGTCTGCCATAGGACAAAAGAAGGAGACAAGCAAATTATAGTGAAATCGGAACAAACCCTGATAGATCTGTAGAAGACCGTATGACTAGACCAAGCTTATTTTTGTAATTTTGCTGGTTTATACCGAAAATGTTTATTTCATCATTATATTCAATGTGATTTTTTCAATTTACATTTCCAACGTAAACAAAGTACACAATTCAAATACAATATTCTTACACTAGCTCTCACATTTACATTCTGTAACTCACTCACTCGTTCCCAATCATTTAATGCTTTTTTTTTCGCCCAGAAGCAATTGGAAAAGGGCTACCCCGATAACGCGAGCAGGCGGTAAATGCTTTATGCATACCGCGACAGCTGGTCTGCCGTGGTTATGCGGGACTCACTGTGACTACCTAACCGGGACCCTAAGTGATACCCGCTAAAAACCGCCTTTGGGGAATGGCAATGGCCTATGAAGCCTCTTTGCCAGATCGGAAGAGACTCTCTTTTGGGAAAAGAGGGCGCAGGCGGCTACGAGCCGCTGAGGGAGAGCCTACTAGGGCAAATTTAAGAAGAGTCGGCCTGAGCCGCCAGGAGGCAGTTCAGGTCGGTTGAAATTTTATTTGGCGGGTCCGAGAGAGATTTTCTCGGCCTGCGGTCTCGATAGCGAGAGGGGAGTGGGGCTGCATAAGTAGCTGCCTCACGTATAAAAAGGTTAGAATGAGACTCTGAGGCTTTGAAGAAGTTCTCAGAGAGTGTTTTTAGATCATTTAACGCTAACCCCTTTATATATAAATACTAGCTGACTCGGCAAACGTTGTTTTGCCATATACATTATTTCTAGGAAATATTTTTTTTTGGTTCAATAAAAAATAGCTAACACTATAAATGCGTGGGGATGGAATTATAATTGAAAGAAGAATGAAGCGCTGTAGACAATTAAAGTATAATTTATATAAGTTAATAAATTATTCTTTATTAAAGTAACAAATACAAGCATATATAAAATTACAATTCTTGTTAGCTATCTACATCGAAAATAGTTGTTCATATTTCTACTAATAATTATGGTAATTAAAAAATAAGCGAAGATTAATCTCCCAGCCCAATGGAGTGTACAATACTTTTGGTCAGTCCATTTTTAGCCAATACAAACAAACTGGATGGTTTTCCCACGTGAGAACATGCCATATATGGTTGTCCGTGGGAAAAGCATGGTGTACCCAAATCTAAGCCACAAACAGACAACGTTTGACCTTGTGACTTATCGATCGTCATTGCGAATGCCAATCTAATTGGAATTGAATGCGTTTGAATTCAATTGGCACATCTGTAGTAATCATAGAGGTTCGTGGCAGCAATACATTTTCGCCTCGGAACTTGCCATTCAAAATGCTGGCTTCGATAACGTGTTTCATTAGTTTTTTTAATGACTAATCATGTGCCATGGCAAAGCTGTGGTGATGAAGTCCCCTGGCTGATGTATCTTGGAATGTAATCCATTGACGTCCACAGTTTTTGCTGCCAAAATCGTTCCTTCTGCCAGCCACTCAAGATTGTTGTATTGTGTGAGTACATCGGGATATATGTGGTCATGATCGTCATCATCATTACAGCCTTTCATAAGTCCACTGCGGAACATAGGCCTCCCCCAATTAATGCCACAAGGCACGGTCCTGAGCCACCTGCATCCATCGACTTCCTGCATGTCTTACCAGATCGTCACTCCATCTAGTGGGGGTCGCCCTACACTTCGCCTACCGGTACGAGCCTGCCACTCGAGAACCTTTCTTCCCCATCGGTTGTCGGTTCTTCGAGCTATATGGCCAGCCCACTGCCACTTCAGCTTATTAATCCGTTGGGCTATATCGGTTACTCTGGTTCTACTGCGGATATCCTCATTTCTAAGTTTATCACGCAGAGAAACCCCGAGCATAGCCCTCTCCATAGCTCGCTGAGCGACCTTGAGCTTCCTCATACGGCCAGCAGTGAAGTACCACGTCTCAGATCCGTAAGTCATCACTGGCAACACGCACTGATTGTACAATTTCGTTTTCAGGTTTTGAGGTATGAGGTACTTTCAATCAAAAAGCATTTTTAGAGCCATAAAGTTAAAATCCTATGAATCTTCAATAAAACAAGCCCGTTTCTTAGGCATTCTTGTAAATGACGATAATGGATAACATATTTATATTTATCATAGAGATTCGCAACCAATTTCTTATTACGAATGTTTAATGATATTGGAACTGTTAACTTTTCTGCTGCAAACGGTAAGTCAGAATGTTCATCATGAATATTGCGTGGATATTGCATGTCAATTTCGAGTATATATTCTTCATTACTATTAGAACTAAAAGAGTTAATATCAAAACTTCTTAATTATTTTTGTTTTAAAAACCGAAAATTTTTATAAGGTAGTCTCTGCATCATAGCATAACCATACAAATTTACACAATCTAAATAAACTAAGAAAGAATTTGGATCTCCTTCATTAAAATTTGGTAAGTATTTGTAATTAGCCTTTGCATACCTTAGCGAGCATTGAGATAGCCCTCCTCTTATACCATTTTCTAAAAATTGATGAATTTGTGTATCAGTAATTAAATCCAACTCAATACTTGTCAACAATAGCATCGCATCCCAACTTAGTGAAGGTGATGAAACATAATGACAAGGATCGATACCATAATAATTCAAACTCATGGATCTAAATTTTTCAAAAACGTCGCAAAGTAGTAAGACATCGCATTTCAGATATAACTCGGTATATTCAACTAAGTTTTTAATACCAAAATTTTGCCACACGGTTAAAGCATGATTATAATCTTCGTGTGTTTTCTGATTCTGATGTCAATTTATTGTAAAAATTTGATTGCTCTGGTAACTGAGTTTCTTTATACTTTTCCCAACTATCTACATCTACAGTCATAGCAATATAGTGCCGTGTAGTGGCGGTTAAGAATATCCACTACCCCATATCTTCCCGTGGGTGTCATAAAAGGCGACAAAGGGAAACAGGCAGGAGATGGGCAGCAGCATCTTCCTGATACCAACAAACTTACAATAAAAAAAACTGCGGTTGCCAACCCGCTCGCCAAGCGTGGCAACTATGGCAAATACCCCCCTATGATGAGAGTAACAAAGAAACGGCCCCCAGTTCCCGGCGCCCCCGCTATTCTTGGCTACGGTGGCGACCATGGTAACGGCGGGGCAGGGGGTGCTAAGAATCTCCGGTGGAGGTTCGGTTGCCACCTAAGACGACTCGACCTGGCAACATACAACGCACACACCCTGAAGACTGACGAGAAGATCGTGGAGCTGGAAGAAGAGATAGACAAGTTACGCTGGCATATTATAGGATTATCCGAGGTCCGAAGAGAGGGGAAGGACACGGTAATCCTCGAATCCGGCAACTTGCTCAATCACCGAGTGGGCGACCATCTGTCCCAAGGAGGCGTCGGATTTATCGTCCACAAGTCTCTCGTTAACAACGTTGTAAAGATTGAGAGTGTGTCGACGAGGGTTGCGTACCTTATACTCAGAATCACCAAACGGTATTCGCTGAAGGTCATACAGGTTTACGCACCAATCTCGGCACACCCCGATGAGGAGGTGGAGGAAATGTATGAGGATATCTCTAGGGCCATGCATTCCTCCAAAACCCAATATACGGTGTTAATGGGAGACTTCAATGCAAAACTAGGCACAAGAGAGAACGGTGAGCTGAAAGTAGGGAAATTTGGAATAGGGCAACGGAACCCAAAGGGCCAGCAGCTGGCCGACTTCATGGAGAAAGAGGGACTCTTTATGATGAACTCTTTCTTCCAGAAGCGGCCCCACAGGAAGTGGACCTGGGCGAGCCCCGACGGTTCGACAAAAAATGAGATTGACTTCATTATGACGACCAGACGACAACTGTTCAGTAATGTTTCCGTGATCACGATGGTGAAAACTGGTAGCGATCACTGAATGGTTAGAGGCACACTGAACCTAAACGTTAAGCTGGAGAGGTCTCGTCTAATGAAGTCAACGCTCCGTCCCCCTCGTGCTCTTTTCCAAAGTCCCGAAACCTTTCAGCTCGAGTTACAAAACCGTTTTCAGTGCCTAGAAGACTACAATGAAGTGGACGATATGAATGACAAGCTCGTGGAAACTGTCCATGCAGTTGGAGGTAAGTTCTGCAAGACACGCCGCAGAAGAACACAAAAACTCTCCGATCACACTCTCAATGTCATGGCTGTTAGACGGGAGATGAAACTACATTCTTTAACAGATTTGACAGCATACAGGCAACTGAACAGACAGATCTCCAAATGCATGCGGCGGGACTTACGCAACTACAATACAGCTTGTATTGAAGAAGCGATCGAGCGGAACCAAGGCTCCAAAGTCTATGCCAGAGATCTGTCTGCCAGAAAGAGCCAACTGTCAAAGCTGAAGACCAAGTGTGGCAGCATCGTTTCCCGGGCACCTGAGATTTTGAGTGAGATTGAGAGGTTCTATGGGCAACTGTACACGTCATCGTTGGAGCCACACGCAAGTGTGAGTAACGATCCAAGAGCGAGTCTTATCCGACACTATTCCGAAGATATCCCGGACGTCAGTCTGAGCGAGATTAGAATGGCTCTCCAGCACCTTAAAAACGGCAAGTCCCCAGGTGAGGATGGAATTACAGCGGAGCTTCTGAAAGCGGGTGGAAGACCTGTACTTGAAGTCCTTCAGAAGTTCTTTAATTCCGTCCTCCATGGTGGCATTACACCGGAGGCGTGGAGCAGAAGTGCGGTGATCTTGTTAAGTAAGAGAAGAGTACAACTTGCCATTATATCTGGCGTATGTGGACTATGAGAAAGCCTTTGATTCCATCGAAATTTGGGCGGTGCTGCAGTCCCTTCAGCGGTGCCAAGTTGACTGTCGGTATATCGAAGTGCTGAAGTGTTTGTACAGTAGAGCTACAATGGCTATCCGAGTACAGAATCAGAGTACGAAACCTATCCAACTGCAGAGAGGTGTAAGACAGGGTGATGTTATATCCCCGAAATTCTTCACCGCTGCATTGGAAGATGTTTTCAAGCTTCTGGACTGGAAAGGATACAGTATTAACATCAATGGCGAGTACATCACTCACCTTCGACGTCACCACTTTCAAAGTCACCATAAATAACAATTGGAATTCTTGGAGACCTTTCTGGATTAGAAAATCGTTTCTGGAAGGATTGTTTGCATGCGAGCACAATCATGTGACTCTATCTTTGTCTCAGAATCAAAGTAAATAAAACATTCATCACATAAGTGAATTTTACATTTGTGTTTCGTAAGTTTTTATGTGCGAGCTTTTCAAAATGTTTGATTAAAACAAAATGAATCTTGTTTTGTTTATTCAAAAGCAATAAGTTTACATGCATTAACTTTTTGTGATGGACGCACTTTACTTTACTTTTCAGAACAAGTCCTTTGAATGTATTGTATAAAAATATAATGAAATAAAACTAAATATTGTATACAATGGCAAACAAATAAAACAAGTGCTTTTCAAAGCTTTCTTTCTTGGCATACACATAATAGATATATTTTGTACTTGGAAAGGTCACGTAGAAAGAGTATGTAACAAATATAACCGGTTTGTTTACATATTACGGAACCTTAGAAATACAGCATCGCAAACAAAATTTATTACGGCGTATTACGGATACATTTATTACATCAATAAAGTTTAACTGTGCAGAAAAATGTGAATATACTCCTATAATACGGCCTCTCATGAGTCATGTAAACTTGTCTTGGGTAGTGCTGTGCTTACACTTCCTTGTCTCCGAAAGAGCCATATTTGTGAAAAAAATAAATCTGACCCGTTCACAACTGCTGCAGGTATAATATGTGAAGCACCTTGGTTTCTAAAATAATTATATGTCACGCGAGATACACGCACACAAATGTAAATACACACACACACACACACACACATATATATATATATATATATATATATATATATATATATATATATATATATATATATATTAAAAGCATTAGTTAATAAAAATTAATCTTATTTAAATATAGTGATATAGCGAAATTATATAATTAAGGTTGCATTTATTTGTTTGTATACTTTTGACTAAAGTTAATTGATTTTTGTTCTAATAACAATTTCAAAAATTAAGACTAACAATAACTAGTGTAAAGATACAAATGAAACAAAACAGGCGAATTTGGTCTCACATAGTCCTGGATGTAGGCCCGTACGTGTACTAGATTATTAATAATCAGAGATTATTATTACAATATTTTAAAAGCACAGAATAAATAATAGGAGTATGTACTAAAAGTAAGTAGTATGTAATATTTATATTTGAATACGTCTTGGACTTTTTGGAGTGATATGAATGATGATACGATGATCTGAGCATTATGAGTCGTGCACTTTGGATTTTCCAAACTTTTTCAAATTGAAGTTTGACATAAAGTTATCGGAAAATTGGAAGTATAATAAGGTTATTAGTGAAAACTTGTGTGTATTTAAACTACTTTAAAAAATTCCGTATAATCATGCTATATGTATTTTTTTAATGTGAAGGCATGCTCAATTGGATTTACCAATAGTTTATTTTTTTACTATTGGAGAAAAACCTTCCGCTTATTTTAAATTTCCCGTCATATTAAAAAAAACTTAAACTATTGTAATCTTATAAATATTTATTGATTGTAATTTGTAGATAAAATATTTTCTTAAAAATAGCCTTATGTATATTATAAGTAAATTTCTTAAATATTTAAGCCTTAAGTATTAGAGCAATTGAAAGCCGCATCACAAAATTACCAAGAATATCGAAAAGTGGAGGTAATTTTTTGAGTGTGTTTTTATCCTGTTGGTCTCAAAATGGAACAGTGGAATACCAGGGACGGAGAAGTGCGACACTATGTAGTTGACGTTCGCCATTGAGGACCACTTGCGGTACATCAACAACTTTTACGTTTGAAACATTTTTTATTGAAAATAAAATCGAAAGTTCTCAAAGATGTGTTTGATAAATTTTCTGGGCTAATCTGGAATTTCGATACCGTTTTTTAGATTGTATTTAGTTTTGCGTAATAAATTTTTATACTGTCATCAAGTTCGTAAAGTCCTAGTAAAATTACCGATTAAAGAAAAATTATGTTCGATACATTTAATGTGATCCACATCTTCTGGATAAACGAAGTGACGATCTTCTAAGTCCGTAAGGTATAAGCCAAAGTAGAGAAGTAAAAGATTCCCAAATTAAGCAGTTTTAATAAAGATTTATTAGAAGCGAGATTGTAAGTAATGCCATTTATAATGAATTTTCGTATTAGAAAGTGCATGGGAACGGCATCTCTTATTGAGAAACTGAGACGTCATTTCCATTGAGCTCATTAAGGTATGGAGCAAAAACATGATTGTTGAAGCCTTTACAACTAGGCCAGAGGCGTTCAAAATGTAAGAAATAATAACGTCACATAGGCGACCCTAGGGTCGCATTCGATTCGCTCGTTTGCATTTTTCGACGATAGATATATTTTTTAATACATACTTATAAACACTACTATTTGATATTTTTAAATAAAACTAATACGTATAACTTCGTTACATTTTAAAAAAATCACATAATAAGAATTTGCATTTTGCACATATTATACAATGTTTAAAATGGTAATTTAAATTTAGTGACGTCAGATATAATTTAATTACAAACAACTTTTAGATTTATTTAAATAAACTTAACATTTAATACTAGAGACCTGTCCACTGGCCGTATGAGTAAAATTAGTAATAATTAAATAAATATATTTATGTTCTAAGTATGTCCAGTCTTTCAGGCGTCATTGGAGGTCAAACATCCAAACATACATGCTTTCACATTTGTAATTTAAGAAAGATATTATATACATTATAAAAATGAAATTACTTACCTTGCAGTTTAATTTTATGAAATGCATTTCGAAGCTCGCAATAAAAGAACATGTCATCAGCACGGAACGTGTCATGACAAATGTTTATTTCGTAATTGTATGTATATTTTAATCAATTACATGTAAATTTGCAAGCTTTCCCATACAAATTACGGCTAACAACCTATAGCATTCGTGTTCGTGTTGCATAACGAAACATAACTTACATATATACCAGACTCAAGACAGTTATCTCGCCATAATAATATACAGAAGATTAAGTGAAAAGTGATTGATCAAGGCCCATGCGAATGCATCTTCTATAAACAGATATGCATTGAAAAAACATTAAAAAAATAAAATTTTAAAATTGAATTTAGAACACGGTATTTTTATCATTTTATTGTAAACAAGCTGTAACACCACCCTATTTTACCCTTTAAAAATATAAGATAAAGTAAAATGGTTTCTTCTATTGGATTTTTATGAAATATAGGGCAAACGAGCATACGGCTCACCTGATGGTAAGTGATCACCGTCTTCCTTGAACATCTGCAACACCAGCGGTATTGTAGGAGCGTTGCCGACCATTTAGAAAGGATGAGGCTCTTTTGCTATTGTTACATTGTACATTAAGTACCTTTGTTTTTCGGACATGCAATCAACCGTTTATTATGATGCACGTTGCAACATCCAAATCAAACAGTGATAAAAACATGCGTGAGTGTCTTGGAACACTCGGTTGGAACGAAGTTACGTATTATATTATTGATTAACAAATACAAATAAATGTATTACTAGCGTGTATTAAAATGAAGCATAATTTTAAAAAATCCACTGTGACGAAAAAATCTTACACTTTTTGTCGCCTCGCTCCCATCCGCCAAACCCGTACCGTTCGATAAGGAACTCCGTTCCAATTACTTTTTCAGATCAGGCAGTCACTGATTAGGCAAACACACAGTTATTATAATAACTCTGTCATCATCAGCATTACAGCCCTTCACAAGTCCACTGTTGAACGCAGGCCTTCCCCAAGTAATGCCACAATGCACGGTTCTGAGCCACCTGCGTCCATTAACTTCATACGTCTACCACGTCGTCCCTCCATCTGGTATGGAATTGCCTTACACTTCGTCTACCGGTACGAGGCTTCCACTCGAGAATATTTTCTTTCCAATAGGTTGTCAATTGTTCGAGCTATATAACTGACCCGTTGCCACTTCAGCTTACTAATCCGTTGGACTATGTCGGATACTGTGATTCTACTGCGGATATCCCCATTGTTAAGTTTATCACGCAGAGAAACCCCAAGCTTAACTCTCTCCATAGCTCGATGAACCACATTGAGCTTCCTCATACGATCAGCAGTGAAGAACCACTTCTCAGATCCATAAGTCAGCACTGACAACACGCACTGGTTGTACAATCTCATTTTCTAGTTTTAAGGTATACCTGACGAAAAGAACATTGCAAATTTTGTACACTTATTTTTATTGCCGCTAAAATGTAATTTGTTAACATTAAACCATTGTACTAATGTTGTTATAGAATTATTTACTCTGCAGATTAAAACAATTGCCGTATCAGTTTATTTGATATTGATAATATCTTTCTGCGTTCTATTTCTGCAATAGCTTCTGAAGTCAGGTCTTAACTCGTAGTTTTTTTTTAAAACACTGTCTTTTTAATTTTGTAGTTGGTTCTACTTTTTATTACGAGATTAATTATTTTACTATAACATTCTAGACTGTATGTTTAAAACTGTATGTATAAATAAATAACTCGTTATTGTATATTATAGATGCTATTAACACATTAAACTATTTTGTGATTTGTTTTTAATTATTTTCTCAGAATTATACAATAAACATTTTTAAGATTTTCTTCCGACAAATTGCAATACAGTTTGTCGGCTGTAGTTCTCGTCTTATGTGCTTAGGTTTATGTAATCTTAAGTATAATTTTTTGGAAGTAAAGACTAGAAATGAGTTGGAGGGTGACTCGAACTTTAGGCCTAGTCAGTTTGAATAGCCTATCATGTAGAGGACGTCATGGGGGTCATGGTTGAATAGCGGCAAAAAGTTCTCATTACACTCCTAGGGAGACAAAATGGCCAAAAACCATAAAATTCAAAATATTTATTTCGGCTATAACTCCGTCTGCTTCGGAGGTTCTTACACAGTCTTTACTTCCCGCATCCCACTAGTTTCTTAAACATGTACTAACATCTATTTTAGTATTCTATTTATACATATTTAGTACAAAATTTGTTACGAGCCAAATATTAAAATTGGTTCTTTAGATTTTAATTTTTTTTTTCGTTACATACATAAATTACGCTAATTCTACTCAACACATCCTTACACTCAAACACCACATATCGCACATGGATTTCTAATTTCAACAGTACGTTACACGTGGCCTGTAGCCCTTTCCCCCTAACCCTCGGCCTTTTGGTCACCCCTGCCGAGAGCTTCGATCTGGTTGACTTTTTATTTATTTACGTATTCTTTACGTATTTATTAATATATTTATATGTACCTATGTATATTTTTGATTTCCATTTATATATTTGTGCAGCCCAGCCAGATGAGAAAACTATTTAAATACCCCCCATAATAATAATAATAATATTTATTTGCATAAAACATGGTATAAATGTTGTTAACATGTAAAAACGAGCGCTCATGTTTTGCTTATTTTACATAGCATGCTAATATTTTTAAGCAATGTCAAATATTTCCTTAGCTATTTGAAATATAATTTAGTCACCTGATTTAGTTAAAAATAAAATATAGACAATATTTATTATACTCGTAATAATTAGTTAAACGTCAATTCTGGGCTTCGTCAATTTCAATACCTAGTAAAAAGTTGCATAACTTATGATATATTGTAACAATACTATAAAAATTATTAAATTAAAATTTTATAATAAATATTATCAAATACATAATCAAATTTTTACTATCCAAGAATTGTTTTACACTAAAGAAATTATTTTTATTGAGCCATTTGTACAATTTCTTTTTGATCAATGTAATATTTACACTAACAATGTTAAATTCGTACATAAAATACGTGGCTAAAATTTTACTTCGCTCTATAACGTACATATGCCGATAGATAAAAGTACCCCATTAATTTAGCCAATTTATTACCTAAGATGATTTAACTAATCTTACTTATAGAAGAGCTCACTGGTTTCTCTCGGTTGTCATCGGGCGCATAAACATTAGGCGTCATAAACCCTAATGTTTATGTTTTTTATTTATATAAATTCATCTTCATAAAATTTTCTTTATGATGAAATAACTTTGTTCATTAGGATTAATACGCCATGCCAGAATAACGTTAATAATTGTTGTCGTAAAACACCTTATCGTGTCTTATGAATAAAAAATAGATATATAGTATCGCCAACTTCTTTTTAGCTGAACTAAAGATCTATATTTTTGTAGTACATTGTATTTACGTATCACTAACTATTACGCCAGCGCACGCGGATAAATCATTTCTAGAGCGCTTTAGCTTCTAATTTAACATATCAATATCAATATTTAAGGCTAGCTGAGATGTGTAGCTTAGTGGTATATAGCCTATACTACTCCTCATAAATCTGTTTATGAGGAATAGTATAGGCATATATATTATTTTTAAACAAATAAGCAAAAAAAATACTCTTCCGCTTTATTATATTAAGTATGGATTGTTCATAAGCTTCAAATTCAGTAGACCACGGTTACGTAAAGAATAAAACACGGTTAATAACAGTGTAGTAAAATAAGGTCACGTCGCTTTATTTAAATCTAGGCCAGATGAGCACAGAAATTCGGAACGAGAAATCAATTTTGAATATATTTTTTAAGTTTATAATATTATAATATTAAAAAAAAATACCTATTTTCAATGTTTATTTGCTCAAAATATTATTTAGTGCTCAATATGTAAAGAGTTAAATAAAGCAATGTAAGATAATGTGTAAACTATGCGAAATAGTAAACATGTGCTATGGACTCGTATCGTAAGAATCGGGACGCCTTCTTCACCTTATGAACGGCTGTCATACTACGCAAATTTCTTTCTGCAAACTCCGTTCACTAACTGAAAAAATAGAGGCACAAACGTTTTTAGTTTTAAAAAGTGTTTGTTACGAGGTCTATCTCAAAAACTAGTTGAACCATTTTTAGCCGTGTTTAAATAAAAAACTCAAAACATCAATGCATCATTTATTTTGTAAGATGTGAAAAAAATTGTTTTTTATACGTGGTAGAGGCGTGCTGCAGCTATATAGAATAGCACAAATGGGTTGACTAGACCGGGGTATAACCACGCACTCACAGAATACCAGCGTAAAATAGAAACTTAATGCTGCTGTGTTTCGTATGGTGAGTGTAGAGAACCGGAGAACCTTTTTACTGGAAACGAGGTATTCTATGTTTGTCCTCAGGGGTGGCAACAGATCTGAGTTATCGAGAGTAATCGAGGCTAAATGAAGATGTCTATGGGCCTCAGCACCCACTTACGATCAGGTGGCCAGTGATCGTTTATCACCCTTACTCTATAAAAAAAGCAACGCTAATGCAGCTAGGCCTGACTCGCAATTGATTATTACTTACATATTTTGTGTTGTTATCTATGTTATATCGAATTGTTAAATAATATGTATGCTATCTCTTTTAACAGAATATAGGTCAATACTGTAGTTTTTATTGCAGCCTGGACGCGGAGTCATGAATCTTCTTTTCGTCATGATTCTTTACTTCTATCGCATTACGTACGATAAGTCATAGTGCATCTTTTGAGAATTGCAATATTTAGTAAAACAGTAGAGTCTAAAAGCTATTAAAACTGTGGTGTGGAGACGTTATTTTGTCAATGCTAAAAGATTATACTTTGACTTACCGAGTGGTTCAAGTCAATCAGGTCACATTATATGAACAGTTTTTACGTATTTTGGCTAATATTAGTAAACTTCCACAAGGAATAGGTAAGAGGGTGGTATCTACCCAGACGGGACTTGTTCGGGAAACTGGAAGACGACTAGCCTGCGTACAAGGCGGTACCTACGTAAAAATTTCGAAAACAGCACGTAGACTCGGCTCGCAGAGAAATCAGTCTGTAGTTCTTCGTTGCGGCTTTATAACCTTTCGTCAAGGTCAAGATCACTGTTCCACGTTACCGGAGTAGTGCCGCCATGAAAGACGATTAATTAAACAACCTTTAAAGAATTCCAGAACCGTCACGTTTTTATAGGATTATAGTGACAAACGAGGACACAGTCCACCTAATGGTAAGTGGCCCGTAGACATCGATATCTATCCTCGATTAAGAATCGAAACGCATGCGTTAAAACCCATGTGCACTAAGATGGAATGCCTCGTGTCCTGTAAAATTTGTATCTGGTCCTCTACACTCACCATTCGAAACACAGCAGCAAAATGCTAATATTTTACGCTGGTAATCCGCGACAGCGTAGTCCTTCCCAGGTCGAGCCGACCCATTCCTGCTACAACCATAATATAAGCTTCAGCATGGCTCTACCACGTTAAAAATATAATACAACGGTATCTCACTCGTTTTCGGAAACTCCGCTGTAATTCTATTCTCCTCTGGTACCTTGCCGTTTTGAAAGTGCTGGAGAGCCATTCTAATTTTTCGTCCAGGATAATCCCCAGAATAGTGTCGGATGAGATTTGCTCCTAGGTCGTTACTCTGTGGCTTTTATTTATATTAAAGGGGGCAACCGAGCATGCGCCTCACCTGATTGTAAGTGACTAGCGCCACCTATCAACATCTGCAACAGCAGGAGATTTGCAGGTACGTTGTCGGCCTTTTGAAAAAGATTACGTGTTCTTATAACTTTCGTTCTCATTCAAAAATAAAAGTATTTACCAACTAACACCAACAAAGGCCAGAGAGCGAGTATAATAACAGGCTGTAAAACATTATATAATATTCTTCAGAGGTGACAACGTATCTGTAGCCTTTTATGTTTGAATTCCGTTGTAGATGTCCACAAGCTGCAATAGCCACTTACCATTAGGTGGACTAAGTTCGTTTGTCACTTAAGGTTTTATAAAAACAAAAACTATTTTTTTTTTCAGCTGCCGTGCGTTTGTACGAACAAATACTTATAGCCTATGCATACGTATACGTGTTATTTTGTGAAATATGCGTAACTGACCTTTTAGTCCGACTTTTAATTTATCTGGTAATAGCCATAACAGCTTCTTGATAAGATGTTATAAACAACATATATACGTGGAGCTGATATGTAATCGAATGTTCTTTTGTTACGGATTCTTTATCACTGTGCGCTCTGGAGTTGTATTAGTTGGATAAAATGCCGTGTTTAAAAATTTTAACCAATATTCCGAAGAGTCAAATACCTCGGGACTTTGTGGATAAGATTATACCACTATTAGCGAAAATCTTGAAAAAGCCAGAAAATGTAAGTAATTTTGTACTTTTATTCTTCTAGCAATAGCATTTTTGACAATACTGTCTTACAATGATGATTATGGGATATTATATGTAATTAATTATTGTAGTCGAGATGCAGGAGGTACTCTCGGGGTGATATGGGGTAGTTGCCCATACCATCCCGAGGTTATCGAGATGGGCAGTAGCATCTTCCTAGTAGTAACAACTCAAATTAATGATTTCTTCTAATAATTATTAATTATTTATTCTCCACCTCGTCATAATTGTCACGCTTGGCCGGCAGTTTAGGTCTGTACTTTATTTTTATTTAATAGTTGTTGACCATATAAATGCGGTGTAAGAACATATACCACTTCATGTTGCCCCGTCTTAAGGAGCAACAGATGGGAAACAAGTAAATGGGCAGCAGCATCTTCCTAATATCATTAACTGTTACTGTCAATTTTATTGATGCCAGAAAGGATACTTGGTTTGCATGTGTACTAATAACTTTTAAAGCAAGCAAATACCCCTTGAGCTAGAACAAGCCGTAGCCACATGTAAATATAGGACAATAAATGAGTTACATAACTACATAGGTAGGCCTAGTAGTGAATGAATTGGTAATTGGAATTTTATATGCTTATTTACAAAATATGTGACGGTTGGGGTAAATTTCTAAAATGTTTGACGTTTATACTGTTAGTCAGTTGGCTTTTACAGCTTTAACGGACACATCGTAAGGTAACCTGCGTCTCTGAATTGAATCAAAGGAAAATTGTAAGGAAAAAGTGCATTCGAGAGCAGCCAGTGGACCAATAGGGAGTCCGCTAGTGTGCTTCCAATCAATACACCGTGGCGGAATCCTTTACCTACCCTAAAACTCTCTCAAAATGAGACAAGACCTGAACCAGCAGCGGAACATTCTTTTATCGTTCAATCATTCCATGCCTGTCAAAGTCTATATAGGTCTCCCCGTAGATTGCCTACTATAATTGATTCATTACAGTAGGCTATCAATATTGCAAAAAAACACTGAAAATGTTAAATGAATTGTCGTTTATTTAGAGTTAAAGGTGAAAACATTACATGTCCATTTTTAGCTTACAATACTTATTATAAATATATACTATGCTACATGTATCGAAGCTACACTATACTGCCATGTGGTGACAGCGTAAGCCACCACACCATTTTGTCACGTGGATGTCGCAAGTAGAGTCTATGCGAATTTTACAAGAATAATGAAAGTGAAATACAGTTTGCACAATTTAAAGAAAAAATTTCAATCAAATTTTAACAATAATTTAACAAAATCAGATCACGATGTTGCAATGACTTTTGAACAATATTTTAAAGACATTTCGATCTTGACTACAGTCACTGAATTCCTCACCTACTGTCGCCGAGTCGTTGTTCAAACAAAATATAAATGTCTGTAAAAAATAAGTTGCGTTTCATAAAATATTATCAGGAGATATTGTAAAATATTTCAAAACTATTCATGTTAAGAAAACAGCAGCTCTATGCGGGATTACCGTTAAAGTTATTGCGTCTATAATAGATGCAATCGCACCGCCACTTGCTATTATTTTCAATACTAGTATCAAATCTGGTGTGTTTCCTTATTTAATGAAACATTTATATATATACCTTTATTTAAATCTGGACCTACATTGGACCCCATAAATTTTAGATCTATTTCTGTACTATCAACGCTAAGTAAAATTTTTGAAAAAATAATATTCTAGATCAAATGTTTTTTTTTTTAATGTAAATAAATTACTCCAACTTTGGTTTTACAAGGAATCGCTCGACAACAGACGCCGGTGTTGAGATGATTAAACATATTTCCTGTGCATAGGAGAATTCATAGGATGCTTTAGATATACTTTGAGATCTTGCCAAGCGTTTTGACTGCGTTCACCATGAGACATTAAACAGGAAGCTACATCATTATGGTGCAAAAAACATAGCACTCACACTTATTATATCATTCCTAAATAATAGGACGCAAACAGTTGTTATTAATGGGAGCAGTTCTTCCGGATCAGTAGTATCTATGAGTGTTCCTCAGGGCTCAATTCTTGTCCCCTTCCTTTCTTAGTTTATATTAATAATTTACCTTCCTTAGTAGGGACTAACTATGATATAGTTTTATTTGCTGATGATACTTCGTTGATCTTCCAACTTAAAAAACAATTATTAAAACATGACGAAGTGATTAATGCTATACAAAAAGCAGTAAACGGTAATAAAACAAGACGTATTAATAACACCTAATGTTAAACAGTAGAATACCAGTGTGCTATCAATTGGGGAGGAGCTGAGCCTTCCGGGGTCCTCATATTTAAACTAGCTAGCAAACTTAGTTCTGCAGCATATGCTGTACAAAAGCCTTATATGTGTTGAAACAGCTAGATTCATTCATTTTAGTTATTTCCATAGCATAATGTCATATGGAATCTTGCTATGGGTTAATGCGACTGACATTGAAACTATCTATGCTTTGCAAAAGAGAGCAATAAGAGCAATTTATAACATAGGTCCGAAGGAATCCCTTAAAGAAAATTTAAAGAAATAAATGTATTAACTTTGACCTCTCAATATATTTACGAGAATTTAATGTATGTACACAGAAACAAAAATAGCTTTATTAAAAATAGTGATGTACGATTCTCTAAATACTAAGAACAAGCACAAGTTAGTTAAACCAGTTACTCAACTCCAAAGAATCTTATCTTCCATCAATAGTGACTGATTTGTACCTATCTGCCATCATGGAGCCTCGATACGGGATCAAAGGCGTGCTAGCTCCAATCATAATTCCACCCCAAAAGGACACTGATTTCTCGCCTTGCCGAACGGTTCCAGTGACAGTTCTTTGCCTTTCAGAGTATCCAGGTCTTCTCCAGATACGGACACGTTGATTATCTGGAGGAGTACTAATTCACGATTCGTCAACGAAGAGACAGTTTGCCAAATGTTTTTCTCCTCATCTTCTTAATTTTGCCGAAGCCTAGTCCACTACAATCTTCGTCGCTGAAGTTGTCGTGAATTCAGAGGTGCTCGACAAGACCTCCGTTCTCGTAGTCCAGCCTGGTGTAAGCAATTCTGAATGGTCGTTTCTGGGGCAATGTATACGCTTTTAAAACAAAGTCCCAGAAAATATGCAGAGCTTATCTATCAAAACTTATAAAATATTTATTAAGCAAAAATTGTTTAGTGTCTAATGGTTATTATACTACTAAAGAGTACATGATTGATAATAACCCCTGGGAATGAGGTGATCGTTACCATGCTGTTTCTAAATGGTTTCATAACAATTGTACAAATATTATATTGTATATTATGCTTTTAAAAAATTCTGCTGCGTTTTTTGCTGGCTCTTCTCCAGGAAAGAGGTATTTTTTTCCATAATCGGTGGTAAAAGTTAAAATTACTTTCAATAAGAATTACATGCATTCAATATTAAATAAAAATTATTCTATTCTATTCTAATCAATTACAGTCAAATTTCGACCACTAGGAGACTTTAGTTTTCAGCCAGTTATGGTAATATTTAGTAACAGTTTGACGCCTGTATGGAAAGAATAGCAAATTTATTTATTGATAAATTTGCGTCGGTAACTTAATTCTTATAACTTACTAACTCAGTTCAAAGTTATTCGTAAACAAAATAAGACAATTAAAAATCACAGTTATATGCATAAAGTTGCAGCCTATTTACGTCCCACTCCTGGGCACAGGCCTCCTCTCATTAATGAGAGGGTTTTAGGGCAAGGAAGTGTCCTCCGCGCCGCGCTGCCCCAATTAGTGGTGGCGAACTTCACATGTCTTCGAAATATTTTTTTTTCTTATTTCTCTAACATGCATGTTTCCTCATAATGTTTTCCTTCACCGCCGAGCACGTAGTAAATTAGCACTTAAAATTGCAATTAACAATTTCATTGGTGCCGGCGGGGATCGAACCCGGGATGCTCGAGTACTGTGAAGCTTACAGCGAGCGCTAACCACCTGAGCTACCACGGATCTATATATAATGTTATATGCATAAAATGTTATATGCATAAAAGGTTATATGCATAAAATACTTCAATTTTATCACTTTTGTTGTCAGTCATGTTACAATTTAATAGATTAATAATTTTTATGTGATGATTGAAAAATCAACCTGAAATAAAATCATCCAGAAAAAAGTACATTTATCAAAGACCTTTAGTTATTTTTGGAATCAAAATCTAATAATAAAACTATCTATATTCTTCAAAAGTATTTGTTCCATGATAAATACGTCTTCAACTAGCAATGGGCCTATCCCATAGTACTCGTAAAACAAAACTGTCGTAAGCGCTACGACTTGTAAGCCAATCGGCGATCGTATTACCTCATGTTTTACACCTTTTTTAACGTTAACCTGCTTTACATCAAATGTATTTACGAAATGATAATAGAGCTTTACAACACCTTTCGAGGGTTACCCAAATCTGGTTCTTATACACCCACTGGATAACATAGTAGTTTGTTTGCGACATCTAATTTTTATTTCTTTAAATGCCCGTAATGTTCTTTTGCTATCAATAAAAAACCTATTAAACTTAGAAATCTAGCATTGATATTGCTGTGTTTGTTTTTGTCGGAAAATCTGAAAATTCAAAATAGGTACATGTATGTTTTTGAAAATATAACTTTATTTTACTCTGTCGCTAACAACCTAATAAAGTTAATATTTTATATAACTTTTTATGCAGAAATTTACATGCGTGATATCAGGAGACTGCTACATATCCTTCGCTGGTGAGTCAAAATCACCGGGTGCCACTGCTACACTGGAGTCGATTGGGAATTTAGGTCCCAATGAAAACAGAGTAATCGTGAAAGAACTAACCGACTTTATAGAAAAAGAAATAGGCGTGCATCGTGACAGGTAATATTTATAAATTAAAATTTGATTTAAAATAACATTAACCACTTGTTTTAAAATATAATTACTTTGTATTATTTTTAATTGTACTAGGTTGATTAATATTTTTTTTTTGGGAACGCAATGAAACTCTAGCATTACTTTAACAATTTCTTTGATGTTTTTAACCGTTTTTAAATATTTTTGCCTTGAAATTTTTCTACAAAATGTGTTTTTAAAGAACTGCCGTCTTCTTTGGCAGACAATACTCTGTCTTATTTTACAGTGGCATACTGGTTCACTGAATTTAAACGCGGCAAAACCGCCTGCAATGGCAATACTCACTCCAGGCGGCCAACAACGGCCGCTACGTAATTATTGATGGTGCGACATATTTATTAGCAATTGTTAAAAGAAGAATACGTTTTTGAGAGGATGCATAAAACTTTGCTGCTAGTTAAATTAATTAAAAGACTTTTTGTGAACAATGTCAACTAAGAAATTACAAATAACTTTCATATTTGACAACATTTAGTAGAATTAATAGAATCAGGCGTTACTTTGCGGAAATCCATTATATAAAAGCTTTTACAAAAATTTACTTCGCAAATATCCGCGTTATAAAATAAAATGATGTGTCTTACTTAGTATGAAGAAGCACCTCCCGCCCTCCCTCAATTGCGTGCACTAACCCCGTCACCACTAATCCCAGCACCGCTACTCCCAACACCACTACACTAGGCAAGACACACCACTGACGATAATACGACACGTGTTTCGCCTCTACACGAGGCATCCTCAGGTGATATAGACTCTACGGTGGCTAACCGCTAAGTGAGCGGCGAGCCAAAACAACTGCCTTTTATACAAACCGATGACGCAACCGCTCTCTACCTAAGAAGCGAGCGACTGCGTCATGCGATAAAACATGCGACCAATCACCGCTGGACTTACGCAGCCGTTTGTAAAATTAAAAACAAACCGCCGCGCAACGCCCACATTATTAGAGAGCAGGCTTGAAGATATTTAAGAGAGGTGAGTTAGTAACATTTGTTTGTTCATTCAGCAATGCAACGGTATTATTATTACTTTTTAATATCTCTAACTGTTCCAGCACACACAGCCGCAGCCCTTTATTACACGTATGTAAGACTTTAAAGGAGTGGTCGTTGGCTAGGTTGTGTCCAGTGTCCAAAAGATGTTTGGCAAAATGGGATTTATCGGGATTGCAATTCCTGTACGCGGCTAAATGCTCTTTATAACGTGTCTCGAAATTGCGACCAGTTTGACCCACGTAAACGGCGTGGCATTCGTCACAAACAAGTTTGTAAACACCTGACTTTTGACGAATATCCAACTTATCTTTACTATTACAGATATTTCTAAGAGAATTGTTTGTTTTAAACGCCACATAAACGCCGTTTTGTCGAAGAGTATTAGCTACTTTTTCAGATATGGGGCCTAAGTAGGTCAAACTGCTCACATATCGATGAACACTTTGAGGTTGAACCGCGTACAGAGAGTTGCGAATAACATGCTTTTGTTTCTTTTTAATTAAATTGTTAATGAGATTTTTTGAAAAACCGTTAGAGACCGCTATTTGATAAATTATATTAAGTTCTTTTAAATAATTTTCTTTACTTAATGGGACAGTGAACAACCGGTTAATGTAACAATAAAAAGCGGCTACTTTATGTTGCCATGGATGACATGATGACGCGGGGATGACTGTGTCGGTGTGAGTTGGCTTTCGATAAATTTGGAAAACATGTGACGATTCTTTTCTTGTTATTGTTAAGTCAAGAAAATTAAGGGAACAATCTTGTTCCAATTCAAGTTTAAATTTAATTTTGTCATGGACTCTATTTATTTTATTGAGGAAAACATCCAGTTGTCTCCTTGTGCCAGTCCAGCAAATAATTATGTCGTCTACATATCGATAGTAATATAAGATATTTTGATTGACAACTATATGTTGTTTTTCGAAATTATCCATGAAAATGTCCGCCATAAGGGGACTTAGAGGGGACCCCATAGCTAACCCTTCTTTTTGTAGATAGAAACGGTTATTAAACCGGAAATAGTTTTGTTTCATACAGAGAGAGGTTAAGTTAAGAAGATCATTTGTTTCCCCGGGATGTAGACGACGTTTTTCAAAGAGATCTGCGAGTATACGCAAACAATCAGGGGATGGGACATTTGTGAAAAGACTATCAACGTCTAAAGATAACAATATGGATTTAGGAGGAATACGAATATCTTTAATTTTGGAAATGAGATCTAAGCCATTTTTTAGGCTGTAAGTGGGGTTGAATCCAGATTTCTCTCGAAGGAGGAAGTTTAATTTTTTAGCAAGGAAATAAGCTGGTGCACCAATATATGAGACAACTGGACGAATAGGAACATTTTCTTTATGTATTTTTGGTAACCCATATAAAATGGGTGCTTGAGGATTCATTGGAACAAGATTGCTCCGAGACAAGTTGTGATCGGGAAAAACATATGATGACTGTTGTATACATAACTTAATATCCGAAGTAAACTTTTTGGTTGGGTCAGACTCCAATAGCTCAAAGTCATCACCTTGGATAACATCGTTAACTTTCTGGCTGTACCCACTACTCTCCATAATAACAACAGTATTGCCTTTATCGGCTTTAGTAACAATAAGGTCGTTTTCCCTTATTCTCTGCTTTAGGGACTTAAAAACAGGGAACTCAGGATTGAAATGGGAAGACGCGGGCACAGCCCGAATTTCATTAGCTACCAAACTTTTAACGATGTTATCTTTCCTCCCGATCACAACAGCCACCTCCGCGTCAACAGCCATAGTCTCTAACGATTTTTGGGAGACCGAAGGTGTTAAATTATACTTTAGGCCTTTATGTAAAAGAGTCAACTCATCTGTTGGAAACTGGACATCGGAAAGATTTTTAACTCGGGGATAAAATTGGTGATATTCTGTATGTATGTCGTTATTACGATTACGGGATGAAGAGGATACAAGTCGTTGTAATTTACGGGACTGAATTTGATATTTCTCATAAACAGCCATTGAAGCAAGTTCTCTGGCTTTTCCATCCAAAATATCAAATTCAATATTATGTAATTTATATGAAAGTTCAGAGTATAATACTTTAAGGTGGATTTTTAAATTATCTCTATTGGAAAACCAACGACGACACTCCTCATTAAGCCAAATGTTCTGAGCTTTAGAAATAGCAATACTGGCCGCTCGACTATTTGTGCTGGAACGTATTTGAATATAATTGGGAATAACATGAAGTTGTTTGCACTGCTGATTGAACCAAACATTTTGGGCAGCAATACGATGGAGTTTTGTTAATTTGACATAGAGTCTTGCCTGGTCGGCCGTGCTAGCCTTTTTAATATAATTAATAGAATCAGGCGTTACTTTGCGGAAATCCATTATATAAAAGCTTTTACAAAAATTTACTTCGCAAATATCCGCGTTATAAAATAAAATGATGTGTCTTACTTAGTATGAAGAAGCACCTCCCGCCCTCCCTCAATTGCGTGCACTAACCCCGTCACCACTAATCCCAGCACCGCTACTCCCAACACCACTACACTAGGCAAGACACACCACTGACGATAATACGACACGTGTTTCGCCTCTACACGAGGCATCCTCAGGTGATATAGACTCTACGGTGGCTAACCGCTAAGTGAGCGGCGAGCCAAAACAACTGCCTTTTATACAAACCGATGACGCAACCGCTCTCTACCTAAGAAGCGAGCGACTGCGTCATGCGATAAAACATGCGACCAATCACCGCTGGACTTACGCAGCCGTTTGTAAAATTAAAAACAAACCGCCGCGCAACGCCCACATTATTAGAGAGCAGGCTTGAAGATATTTAAGAGAGGTGAGTTAGTAACATTTGTTTGTTCATTCAGCAATGCAACGGTATTATTATTACTTTTTAATATCTCTAACTGTTCCAGCACACACAGCCGCAGCCCTTTATTACACGTATGTAAGACTTTAAAGGAGTGGTCGTTGGCTAGGTTGTGTCCAGTGTCCAAAAGATGTTTGGCAAAATGGGATTTATCGGGATTGCAATTCCTGTACGCGGCTAAATGCTCTTTATAACGTGTCTCGAAATTGCGACCAGTTTGACCCACGTAAACGGCGTGGCATTCGTCACAAACAAGTTTGTAAACACCTGACTTTTGACGAATATCCAACTTATCTTTACTATTACAGATATTTCTAAGAGAATTGTTTGTTTTAAACGCCACATAAACGCCGTTTTGTCGAAGAGTATTAGCTACTTTTTCAGATATGGGGCCTAAGTAGGTCAAACTGCTCACATATCGATGAACACTTTGAGGTTGAACCGCGTACAGAGAGTTGCGAATAACATGCTTTTGTTTCTTTTTAATTAAATTGTTAATGAGATTTTTTGAAAAACCGTTAGAGACCGCTATTTGATAAATTATATTAAGTTCTTTTAAATAATTTTCTTTACTTAATGGGACAGTGAACAACCGGTTAATGTAACAATAAAAAGCGGCTACTTTATGTTGCCATGGATGACATGATGACGCGGGGATGACTGTGTCGGTGTGAGTTGGCTTTCGATAAATTTGGAAAACATGTGACGATTCTTTTCTTGTTATTGTTAAGTCAAGAAAATTAAGGGAACAATCTTGTTCCAATTCAAGTTTAAATTTAATTTTGTCATGGACTCTATTTATTTTATTGAGGAAAACATCCAGTTGTCTCCTTGTGCCAGTCCAGCAAATAATTATGTCGTCTACATATCGATAGTAATATAAGATATTTTGATTGACAACTATATGTTGTTTTTCGAAATTATCCATGAAAATGTCCGCCATAAGGGGACTTAGAGGGGACCCCATAGCTAACCCTTCTTTTTGTAGATAGAAACGGTTATTAAACCGGAAATAGTTTTGTTTCATACAGAGAGAGGTTAAGTTAAGAAGATCATTTGTTTCCCCGGGATGTAGACGACGTTTTTCAAAGAGATCTGCGA